CAGGAGAGGATGTAACAGTGGTGTTGACATAGATTTATTATCAGTTTCTCTAAGGTGTTAATTTGGTAGAGGATTATAACTAAGCTTACTTGAAAGGGATACCCATGGTAGCATGCCCCTGTTCCCGTTATATAGACTAAATATTTTTTTGTCCAAGTTGAGCCAGAGTACCCATGATCAATTTGGCTGACCCAGAAACGCCCAGGACTTTTACTTTTATTTTTATTTATTAACACACAACATCCCTCGGAGGGGATGAAAAGGGTTACAAATCAGATATTAGTAAAAGAAAAATAACCACATAAAGAGTAAGGGAACAAAAAGGCATAAAAAAAAAAAAAAGATAATAAGTTGAATACAAGGAATGTATTACTGGCTTAGTTTATGTAGGTGCTGCTGTCTTGTATTAAAACAGTTTTTTAAATATTGCGCTAAAGGAATTGACATTTTCTCGTCACTTAGTAATGATATGAATTTATTTTCATTACTAAATTTGTCAAAATTTGGTATACGTTTATTAGCTACAATGTAAAGTTTTGATCTTATTTCATTGTAATGAGGACAATTTGTGACAAAATGTTGTTCATCTTCAACATGGTCATTGTCGCACATATTGCAGACTCTGTCTTTAAAATCCAATCCTGTATGCCGGCCTGTTTCAATTTTCAGACAGTGGTTGCCAAGTCTAAATTTTGTTAAGGATTTGCGAAGTTCACTGTTTTTCATAATTGTTAAGTAGTTTTCTTGTTCTATTTTGGTTTTAAAAAGTTTGTAGGTTCTTAGTTTATTTTTAGAATTTGATTTTTTCCTATTGTCATTATTTATTTCATTTTTCCACTCAGTTGTAAACTCTTCTTTTAATTTCTCATCAATTGTTTTTAGTTTTGATAATGAGATAATATTTGTTTCATTTAAAAGATAAGAATGGTTTATATTTTTTAATATCAAATCAAGTCTTTTAAACCATTTACTTTTAATAATTTTATTGACATAGTATGCTTCTTGAAGTAGAGTATTTGTGGAATTTGCAATGCGATTGGCATATTTTATCATTTGTTTCTTAATAAAAGAGTCAAGAGGTAATTTTCCCAATTCACTATATATTACCATGATTGGTGTATTTTTTGAGATACCAAGAATGTACCGATAGTATGTAAGCTGGACATCCTCTACAATTGATTTTGTAGAACTTTCTTCTCCCCAAATGTCACTCCCATACACAATACCTGGTCTGATAAGTTTATCAAATAGTGACAGTAGTATGGACACGTCCAGATTACCAGATCCAATTTTGGTCTTTAATGAGAATAAAGCTTTTATTCCTTTTCTTTTCAGGTTTTTCATGGCATCTTTAAATTTACCAATTGGGCTCATAGTTAAGCCAAGATAATTGAAATCTTTAACTATATTGATTTCTTTTCCTTCATAAAAGAATATTTCCTTGTTAAGGAGTCTGTTACACTTATTGAATATCATTATTTTTGTTTTATCTGTGTTGACAGACAACTGCCATTTTGATGTGTAGCTGATAATTTATCCAAACTGACTGCATATTACACCTTCATTATAATTTGTTTAATTTTCACCCATTTGCCCCCTGGATCTTCAATAGTAGTGTTCATGCTACACAATGTACGGGCTAAGATTTAAGCTAATCTCGTATGTTTGAGTTCATGCACAGAAGGAAACGATGGTTAGCACGGGGTAAGGAACGCCCAAACTTATTAAGAATAGGCAAAAGCTGCAGGAATTTTAACTATGAGTGCTCAGTAAGAGTAACTAGGAAGGTTAGTTCTACAGTTATAAAACAATACCAAAGCAAATTCTGAAAGTGCAAATTGCAGAATAACAGGAAGTAGCACAGAGTCTCATCATCAGTTCATTTTTTTCTTGAGTAAATTTCTCTATAAGTGTTAACGTTGATTGTCATGCAGGAAATGGCACACCGAAATAAAAAGTTATGAATATAGTAGTAAATCTCCTAAATGAACATTGAATACAATCGTTTTTTTAGCCGAGCTAAGCGCTCATGCATGTTTTGTTTTGTCTGTGCTAAGGCTCTGGACTGACCAGATTTCTTAGCCTGTGTTCATGCAATTTTTTTCTAGCACAGGCTAAGGTATTGGACCTCTTAGCCTTTGCTGAAGAGCTCTGTGTGAATACTACTAATAAGTGTCTTCTGTTTATCCTTCCTTAGGCGCATACATT